TGTGCAATCAGAATGTTCAACAAAAGATCAAGGACAGTTTTGTCAAACCAGAAGAACGACAAGAGAAAGAAGAGGATGAAGAAGAGGAGATTGCTGTCGAAGAAGAAAGAAGAAGAAAAAGACACACAGGAGCCACATGTCCCAGCTGAAGGCTCTTCAGAGAAAGAGGAATCAGCTCCACCTGAACGCTCCTCAGAAAAGGAGGAATCAGGGGAGAAGAAAACAGACATTCAAGATGATGAGACAGCTCCTGAAGTGAAACCTGCAATTCGACTTTACTATGGTCAAGATATAACTGGAAACGAAGATGATTCAGTTTTTCGAAAATTGAAGGATTGTTTTTCAGATGATTACCATGGTGAATGGGCAGGATTTTACAACAAAGGTTATCCAGCGTCTTCGAAGCATCGACACATGTTTTGGCATGTCAAGTACAGAAAGACCATGTCTCCACATCAAGATTATTGGTACCATCTTACAGATGACCAGTTGATGGTTGAGTACATTGCCAGACACAAGGATCAGAATCCACAACTAGAATTACAAGAACTCAATCAGCGCATTGAATATGGTTGTAGTGATCCTAGGATGCATCCTCTTCATCAAGACAAAGCAGAAAGATCCTCAAAAGAAGCAGAAAAGAGGATTGATGACGATTTTGGAAATCTCACAAGGGTACTCCAAGATTACGTTGAGAACCATAAGGTCTTGCCTTACTGTATGATCTTGCATAGCTTGGCTTACAGATATTTAGGTGGAGGCCTATCAGACCCAACGTACAAGGATGCCGAATTTCCATACAGATCCTCTCCACAGATAACAGCAATGTTTTGGAATTTGGGAAACTGGTGCAGAAACAGATTTGAAAAATGCCCGGTTCCAGAAAGATTTCAACAATTCATTCCACACATTGACTACACTATCGATGAGGATCATGAAAAATTTGATGAAACCAAATCACAGTTCAACAATTACTTCATCAATGTCATCAAGAACTTTGGAGGACATCTTTTCATGAATTGCGAGGCTGGTTCATTGTATCCTCACAGAGAAAGACTCGACGAGGTTGACTTTAAAACTTGCTTCAATGACTATCATGACTTGATGGTGGCAGCTCGCCTTGGAAAGGATGGCTATATCAAGCAAATTGCTGGATATCACACAGATGACAACGACACACGAGTTCGACAAGTCTCATGGGCAATCTTTGAAGTATCTTGGGGAAAGACAAAGGATCGAGATACAGATGAGATTGTTGACTTGACAAGAGCTAGGATGAGAATGACACGTGTGTGCGTTTATCACGTCGGACAGAAGTATGCATCAGACTCTGCTGGGATTGTTGGTGAGTGCTTAGCTGTTATGGCTTTTGAGTGTGCCAGATATCAAGTTGACTTCATCGCAGGTGATGGAAACAAGGCATGCTATTACAGCACACCAAAATCTCCAGGTGTCCCTACATACCAACACAGCCTTATCCAATTCTGGATCAACAGAATGGTAGGTGTTGCAACACAAGCCATGCGCAAGTATTTTGATTCATCTTGCCCTCCAATCAGGGTCAAGCATTTCATTTCTTGCAGTTATCGTGACTTGGATTTTCTTGCAACGCACTTGGATGGCATTACAACAGCAACATACACCGACGAGCTCATGAACAAGACAAATGGTAAAGGTGATTGTTGTATGTTAACAGTTGTTGAGTGGGGTCATTCACGTTTGATGTGTGAGGAACACCCAGAAGACTTTGAGGATGAAGATCACATGAACTATGTGGGTGAATTTTACTTCAAGGTAAATGAAACTTGCTTACATGGTGATCACAACATCTTCATGGTTGCCCCAAATGATCGCGATGCTCATAATCCAATTCTTATCCATCTTGATCCTTCTGATATGTCGTGGAATGAACGACATCATTACAAACAGGCCTACAAGAAGAAGCAGTATGCAGATACAAGAAAGGAAAGACAGAAGGAGAAAAAGAGAAAAGCATATGAAGATCAAGCATCAACGTATCAGGGCAACACAGAGTGGGGTGGATCCTCATCTTCTTCGTCCAGACCATGGAGATCAAGCTTTTGGCTATGAGTGAGTGTATACTTCTTTAAATGAAGATACCACAGCATGAGAGGCCATGTACAGTTTTTCTGTGCGTTCAACTTATTTCACACAGATGGCATATACTCTTTTAGATAGAGATAATGCCACAAGTGTCTGAACTTCAATTTAATGTAAAATAGAGACTCTTGTAAATAGAGATACTATATACATTTATCTCCATGAATCATCCGGCGAGCAGACCACTCCGAATGGAGCGAACTCCAAAAATTTACCAACTTCGATTTCAGTCCATTGTTTGCTTGAATGAGCAACTTTGGAGATCCGCTATTTCCGTTTATTTCGTGATTTGGTCAATTGTTTTTCGTATGACCTGAATTTCTGAATCTTGCGAACCCGAACTTTTCAATTCGAACTTTCACCGGTAGAGCGAGGCATTTTGCCTATGGAGAGACCGTGCGCGAAGCACCATTGGTCGCTACTGGAAAAATTAGCGAATCCGCTGTTCTTTTTCGACATGTCCTTAGGACATTCGCTGCTTTCACGTGTTTTTCAATTCGAAGCCACTGCGTAACTCCGGTTTCTTTTGCTATTTGCCATTGTGTAGAGAAGTCAGGAAGATACTCTTAATACCAATTGGGTACGGCAAGGCGTAGTGCTCTACTCATTGCTTTTGAATTTGTGCCTGTGTTTTTGTTTCGACCTAATACCTACATAGGTACATGCATGAGTATTGAGCACATTTATATGCGCCCTTCAAGGCTCAAGAGGTATATAGAGTAACCCTGTAGACAAGCACTGACCGGCAACAGGCTGAGAGTAAAAGAGTGCTGTCATTGGGGAAGACGCCTTAGCTGATCTTGAAGTAGACGCTAGGGCCCCTCTTCAGCCCTCCCCCCTGCACCCCCCCACCCGCTTTTATTTTTAAACCGGTTCCCCTTGCTACCTACTATTCCTTTCTTTTTTCCTGCTGCTACTATTGCTACTACTACTACTGCTACTACTACTACTACGACGACGACTACGACGACGACGACGACGACGACGACGACGCGACGACGCCGACGACGACGACGACGACGACGACGACCTCGACGACGACGACGACGACGATGACGACGACGACGACGACTACTACTACTACTATACTATACTACTACTACTACTTCTACTACTACTACTACTACCACTACTACTATACTACTACTACTATACTACTACTACTATACTACTACTACTACCACTACTACTACCACTACCACTACCACTACCACTACGACTACGACTACGACTACGACTACTACTACTGCTGCTGCTGCTGCTGCTACTCCTGCTAGTGCTGCTACTACTGCTACTACTATTACTACACCAACTACTACTATGATTTTTTTTTGATACGGATATTTTTTTTTGATCTAGGTTTGCAGCACGAAACCTGTGAGGTCTCACACAGTGGCACCTGGATATTTTTTTTGATGCATATTTTTTTTGATGCGTGCTGGATATTTTTTTGATGCATTTTTATTTTTTTTGATACGTGTCTCGAACGAGATCCTCATGAATTGCCGGACAAAGCTGCCACAAATAGATGGCTGACGGGAAAAGACTCAAGCCTTTTGCGGTCACATTGCATTTATGATAGGGATGAATCTCCTTGTAAGAGCTAACTTGTTTTTTTGATTGTTTTTGTTTGAAGAGCTGATTTGCTAGGGTTTCATCAATGTGCTGTGGTGTTACAAGCGCCATGGTGGTTACAAAGAAATGCTATGCCTTCCAGATGTCTTAAACAGCAGTATCTTGGATGTGTTTCAAAATGATCCTTATCCGGGGCTTTTGTGTTTCGAAATGATCCTTATCCTCTGTGTTTCAAAATGAGCCTTATCCGGTGTTTCAAAATGATCCGGGTCCCGTAGATCTTTTTAGCATATTGGGTAGTTCGCCAGGTAAAGAGCCGGATAGCAGCACAGCATCTCTCCTACGAGGTGAGCTTTGCACCTTTTTGGCTGTGTTGAGGAAAGAAACACATAGACAAGGACGGACCTTTTGAGGCACATGCTTCGCATTGCCTCGCACCACTATTTACATAAGATTCCAGGTTCCTAATCATTTTTCTCCTTCTTGGGGTTGCTCTATTCAATTACTGACAAACGATGGAGAAAAACAAGGCGGGCCAGTGCCATAGCCGGACAGTTAATTTGCTGGGATAGCCTCCATCGTCAGCCTGGACTTCACGGTATCACGAGCGAGAGAGTGAGAGTGAGAGAGAGCGAGCGAGGGAGGGAGGGAGGGAGGGAGGGAGGGGGAGGTTGGACCTCGCACCACTATTTACATAAGATTCCAGGTTCCTAATCATTTTTCTCCTTCTTGGGGTTGCTCTATTCAATTACTGACAAACGATGGAGAAAAACAAGGCGGGCCAGTGCCATAGCCGGACAGTTAATTTGCTGGGATAGCCTCCATCGTCAGCCTGGACTTCACGGTATCACGAGCGAGAGAGTGAGAGTGAGAGAGAGCGAGCGAGGGAGGGAGGGAGGGAGGGAGGGAGGGGGAGGTTGGACGCATGCTGACATGCATCTACTGCAGCTTTAAACGTATGACAAGTATGCCCATAGTGGAAAGGACCATGTTGTGATTGGTAGATTGGTCATTTACCAAGGACGGCTTCGGAGACACCCATTCCAGAATCACATCTTAAACGATCTTAATCGGCAAATGTAGATGTTCCCGGGCTTTGAATCAAACCGGTTTGCTGACACGAAAGACAATGAACCTGTATTGTGACAAAGTCTCAGCTTCCTTTTGCCAAGTTTGCTTTCGCTTGTCATTTGATCATGAAAGGCAGTTGCAAAGAAGGCGATTGACAACATGTTTAACTTGTTCAGGCATACAATAGCATGATTCATGATCCATTGAAGACTTCCAAGTGGTTCCAAGTGGCCATGTCCTGTGAGTCTTTATATGACGTACTCCTGGTGGATCAAAATGCCACATTGGACGACATCAAGCTGGCCTTCAAGAAGCGTGCCTTGCAAGTGCATCCGGACAAAGGTGGTAGCAAGGAAGCTTTCCATCTGGTGTACCAGGCACTTGAGACCTTAGCTGATCCAGAGGCCCGCGCAAAATATGACAACACTTTGTCACAGGTCAAAACGAGACCTGAGCAACGGCCGCATCAGAGGGTCCCAGGCCGCAAAAAGAAGGCTCCGAAGAAACCTGGCCACCGGGCCGCCGAAAAGGAACCAAAGCCAAAGAGACCTGCAGCTCATGGGGGTAAGGCTTCAACTGCACCAGCAGCACCGGCAACCCAGCAGTCCAAGCAAACAAAGCTGTTGATCAGAATCCATGATCTCTTAAAACAATTGCCTCGACATGTGCGGAATGATGTGATCTGCAAGCAGTTCTCCCAGAAGCAGCGCTTGATTCTAGAGAGATGGATGGTTGACATGTCGACTGAGGGTGGAAAAGAGAGATCATTGGCATTGGCTACAGAAAGTCTGGCAGCAAGTGCCCGGAGTCCTGGAACGGCACAAGATGGGCATTGCAGCGTGCTTGCTTTGCCAGCGGCAAGCGCCAGCTTCAGCCGGAAAGAATTTGCTAAGCAGACCGCTAAGCGGACGAAGAGAAAGAGGAATAAAGAATCGAAGGGAAAGGTGCGAAGCACTGCGGGCTACCTCAAAAAAGATTCACGTGGCAGCCTTGCTTACAGGGCCGGCATTTGCTTTGATTCATTTGAGATGCTTACCAAAAAATGTGACTTTCAAACTGCTCTTGAATACTTGGTGGTTCTCACTGCCGCAAAGCAGAAGATGCGAGATCCCAAAGCCCCCGACCTCCATTTTGAGGAGCGATTGCAAGCGGCCCTCGTTTCCTCTGCCAAAGAGCACGGGAAAGACCTTGCAGATCTCAGACTTAGTTTTGTGCTTATCCAAGCGGCTGGATTTTTTATTGGAATCTCATTGCGGGCACCCACAGTTCGCAGTATTGACATCCTTGGAAGGATGCGCTGCTTCATGGAGGCTTTTCGCCAATATGCCAAGAATGGGGGGAATCGATGCATCTATTGGCAGTATAGCCCAGCGCATCTCCAGGATGCTTGGGAACGGTTTCAAAAAGGTGTGGCTCATGCCTGGGAGATTGCTGGGGCAAATAGCACCGATATTCTGCAGAAGATCCAGGCGCTTCACAAAGGCAGAACTGAATTCCGCATCAGACAATTGCAGAAGTGGGAGCAGGGACACATGGCAATGCAAGACAAGAACTGGCGTCGTCCCAAAAGACTGCGAACACCGTTGCCCTTTCGGGCACAAAAATATAGAAAAGTCCTTTCAGAGCGTGAAGAGTGCCGACGGATGGCTTTGGAGGATAGAAAAAGACATCGGCCTAGAGGATTGCGAGGTCAGAATTATTCCCGAAAGTTGTTGGCTTTGAAAAGGCTGCTTGCTAGGTGGGAGAGTGCCCTGAAAAGAAAGGCAAGGCTGCTGGACAAAGCACGTCGGAAGGTCATAGAAGAAAAGAAGGCGCAGCGAAAAAAGACCCAAGAGGAACGAAGACGATTGGAAGCTTTGAACCAGAAACGGCTGAAAGAAGAAGAGCGCCTGAGAAGAAAAGCACTTCGAAAGAGAATGAGATCCGACCTCACTATGGACGAGATTCTTGGCCGGCATGATGCCGATGGCCCCGACCGAAAAAAGTGGGACGTGCTTCGATCTTGGGCATTTATACGCTGTTCCACAGGTCTTTCATGATGGAATACGGTTTGGAATGACGATGTTGATGATGGTGATGGTGATGATGATGATGATGATGATGACGACGACGAGGACGACGATGATGATGATGGTGTTGGTGCTGGTGCCGGTGCTGGTGGTGGCGGCGGTAAGTAGCGGTGACGGGGGCGATGGCGGTAATGTTGATGTGATGTTGATGTGATACTGAACCGATACTGTAATTGGTACTGTAGTGGGTGAGTGGTAGGTGGCAGGCGTTGAGTGTTTGGTGGTGGGTTGTGCGTGGTGGGTTGTGGGTGATTGTTCCGTACGTCCTCGAGCTCTTGAACTACGTAGCCTCGATACCCGCAAGCAGTCATTCGGATGCATTGGGTACCCGTTCCGCTGGCCCAAGCTTCCACAAGAACCAAAATTGCTGGGAGTGCAATTGTGGCAAACTGTGGGCCCTTGAAAATCTTGAAAACACTCTTTCGTGCAGCGTGGGTTTTGAAGGAACCAACGCCGAGTCGCTGAGTTTGTCATTTATTTGCTGTATAAAGTATGGTTGGTGGTTTGGAACATGTTTTATCATCACATAATATATGGGATATTCCTTCCCTTTGACTAATGTTTTTCAAGATGGTTAAAACATGTTAAAACCACCAACCAGGTATGGAATGCTTCAGGGCAAAACTCAGTGACGGGCTCAGGAACCCCACCTTGTGACCGCATGTAATCCTGTGATATCGTGGGGATTGCAGTCTCGTATTGTCCCAGGCAGATCCAGGGGGTAATAGACCACATCCGTCAGTAGATGGGGAAAATACCACTGAACAAGTCGGTCGATTGAAGGCCTACTTACTTGCAGTTGCCAACCACTAACTGAGATCATTTGAGATCCAATTTTTTGGGAACCGGAGATCGTGTGCTGCTGCAGGTCCTTGATCTGCAAGATTGCCCTGAGACACTGTCGGAAGACATCACGCTGATGAGGTGGGGCACGTTGACAGATCGACGCAAAACACCACGCATAACCGCATCGCCACCAATTGACTGCGGATTTGTTGGGTTCTGGTATCGAATCAGTTGTTACATTACTAGTTAATTTTTAGTTTTATGTCACCGCAAGTCAGCATTATTCTTACCGTCGCGGAGTTTTGCTGGGGTCTTTCACATCACATGTGGTCAAAGTGTTCAACAAAGGGGTTTTCCTTGGCAAGCGAGTGCCAGTGTTTTGGGATTGCAGTCGCGTCTGCAGATGAGCATGGTTGGAAGGCATTTGGCTGTAGTTTGAAGCCTGTTTTCTTGGTCAAGTGGCTAACCTTTGAGCCGCCGTTCAGGGACCACATGGCAATTATCGATGGTCGTTTGACTGTTTGCTCTTCAAGTACGTCCGCTTCGATCACATTTGACTACAATGCTGACAGCGGCATCCCTGGTCCGTCCTGTGTGGTTTGTGGTGATCCCATTCGAGTTGGCAAGGCAGCTGCGGCCATTGATATGAGCAGCCATGGGGCGCTGTGCAAGCTTGCAGCGGATCCAAGGCATGGAGATGCCCTCTGCTGCCATATCATGCACGCATGGTGCGCGGAGTATTTGACCGATTCGTTGTGCCCGGGTTGTACAGATCCAGCCAGCCCCACAGCAGACACAGCGCAGATTCCTTTGCCACCGATTAGGCGCATCGGCTTTGATGTTGGGGGAGTCATTGTGAGACACCGCGAGGACATGGACTTGGACTCTGGAGTGGACACAGCTGGGCTGTTAGGAGATGATTATTTGCATGCACAGGCCACTGCGGGTGCGCTGGATACACTCGCAGACGTGGTGAAAAAGCTTGGGCGTGAGAACGTGCACATCATCTCCAAATGTGGAGCAGAGACTGAGGCCAGGACACTTGAGTGGATGGAATACTCTGGCTTCTTTGAGAAGACAGGGATTCAAAGACAGCATGTGCACTTCTGCCGGGATGTGAAGGACAAGGCCCCCCTTGTAGCCAAGCTGAAGCTGGATGCCTTCGTTGATGATCGGATTGATGTGCTGAGGCCTATGCTATCTCTAGTTGGGGTACGCCCTTTGCTCTTCATGCCAAAACAAGAGACACTTGGGCAATCGCCAGCATTTTGGATACCGAGAATCGAAAAGCTGGCTGGCTGGGAAAGTGTGCGCGCACTTTGCCTTGGCCTGGGTACATGATCTAGTTCAGCGATTGAGGGAACTTTAGGGTTGAGAGTTTTTTTTCGACTGGAGTTTGCAGAACTCGTATGCTGAATGCCGCGCTGGGCACAGTGATGTACAGTTGGGTTATGTTGAGTTTATATATGTACAGTCTCGACCGATCTCGACCACGTTGTTCGCAGATGGGGCACCAAAGAACAAACCCTGAATGCTTGCCGCCGAGCCCCTTTGATTTTGCCGAAGAGGTCCGGCATAGGGGCGGAGGTATGTGGCACAGGACCTGTGAATTTACATGAAATTACCAACTAATTGCTGGATAATTCCTTTGCCAAAACGAAGCATCGCAATACATCCAGTACTAGTCACTGTACAAAATACGGCACATGTACTGTTACTGTCATCATTCTAATCACCCATTCTTGGGATTTGAAGATGAGGGTGCCAGAGTGAAATGACCCATACCAACCTTCTTTTCAGGTCCAGATCTCTCCAGAAGCCAGCCTTGTGCGGGAACCTTGGACCCTCATGACATCCAGCATCAGGAGTTGGAGTTTGGATGGGCTGTTTCCACTATCCTCACCATGGCCAACATGACCCAATCAGTACCCTGTGGGGGTCCTTACCAACACGTTTCGTATCGGACTGGTTGTGTAAGGACCATATATTAACTTAACTCGGAGTTTTTAGTCTTGTCACCTTGTCAGGGTGAGCACATTGAAGCTGAAGGTCATATCACCTCTAGGGGGGCTATATGACAAATATAGAGCATGCAGCGTGCAGTGTATGTAGCTGACGGAAGATCCCCTTACCGTTGAGATTGCAAGGTATATACTTGGCACACAACTGTAAATAATGTCAAGGCTGCCCTTAGCAGTCGTGGCTTGAGATGTCTCCCTATCTTCAGCCATGAGCGCTGAAGTCACTGCACTTCTTTTTGCTCAGGATGTCAGTTTATGTCTCACTGGACGCATTGCTCTCCTGAACTGTTTTTGCAATAAAAAATCACCTCAGCCGTTAATGTGATCTCCATCCTCATTTCCTCTGGGTTTTATCTGGTCTTTAGATGTCTTTAGGTTATGTCTCAAACGCGGCAACCATCAGCCCAGGTGTACTTGCAATTCTGTCTGCAGGCGCCGGATATATGGCTTATATTTGCGCCTAGTTTAATCATGCGCTGATGGATGTGGATCGGATCATTAATGTAGGTTGGAGCGAGAAAGGACTCAAAACAGGCTGACAGAAACAGTATTTTTGATGCATCTCAGCTGGAGGGTGTCTAAATTGTTTTTTTTTCTTTATTTTTGTTTAAAAACTTTTAGGAGATTGTTGCAGGTGAAATCACAATAGAATGAATATAGATGAGAGCGGGTACGAACATGCTGTTTGAATCCGGGGCTTCGTACAAGAATCGACCACCTGAGCTCCATGGCTAGTAGTTGACGGTATCTTGGTAATGCTTCGGAGCATTTCGGAGCTGTACTTGCATTTCTGACTATTCATGATCGTTTATTCTTTATATATTCTTTATATTTGGGTTGCCGTTTGGGAGCCCTAGGAAATTGGATGATGGTGAATTCTCAAAGAACAACGCGTTTACTGCAGCAGTTCATTTTCTTAACCCCGCCCCCCCAACACTCCTTCCCCGCTATGCTCCCTCAAAACGAATAGATCCAATACTAAACCAGGGCGTTTGAAGGGATTATTTGCGGCCCTCGTTCCCTAAGCAAGGGGTCGCTGTCAAAGGTTCCTTGTATTTCCTTGTCGATAGTTGTTTGGATGATCTGGGAATATGTGGGATGTCATCTTCAAAATCATGTTCGGGTAGCAGTATGGAAAAAATTGTCCAATGATCACCCGTTTTGGGTAATCATAGGGGGCCAACCTTCCTGATTTGCACTGGACCCTTCGGTGCAGTGCAGCATTTCGGAGGTGGGACTCAAGGGCCGTTGCAGCAGTGGATCCAGCTTCACAACTCTGTATGATCTATTGCAATCTAGCATATTGTTATCTAGCTACTAAGCATACACGAAAACAGTTGCTTGCAAACATGTGCAAACTTCTTTTTTTTGCCTGGTTTTCAGAACATGACTTGCTTTCGAGAAGAGAAAACAGCACAAAGTTGCATGTAAGGAAGAAATAGGACACCAGGTGCCGTGTTGACCATGCAGAAAAGTGGAAGCCCTGCAATTGACCATGTCTTGATGGCCCAAGTGTCCCTGTATGATGTGCTGCTGGTGGACCAGAATGCCACGTTGGATGAGATCAAGCTGGCCTTTAAAAAGCGTGCTTTGCAGGTGCATCCGGACAAAGGTGGCAGCAAGGAGGCCTTCCATTTGGTGTACCAAGCACTTGAGACTTTAGCTGACCCGCTGGCACGCAGGAAGTATGACCATGGAGCGGCCGCCAACAGATGCAGTGCTGCAGAGTATCCAGAGGAGAGCAGAAAAAAGAAGAAAACTTGGAAGCATGCTCCAAAGCCAGAACCTCCGACCTCCAGCAAGAAGGCAAAATCGGCAAAGGCTTATGAGTGCCATGCTGGAAGTGAACCGCAGGCAGCTCAAGCATCGCAGTCGAATCAAACGAAACTGTTGATCAGAATCCATGATCTTTTGAAACAATTGCCTCGAGATGTGCGGAATGATGTGATCTGCAAGCAGTTCTCCCAGAAGCAGCGTTTGATTCTGGAGAAATGGATGGTTGACATGTCGACCGATAGTGGAAGACAGGGACCATTGGCATTGGCTACAGAAAGTCTGGCGACAAGAACGGCACAAGATGGGCATGGCAGCGCTCTTGCTCTGCCGGCTGCAAGCGCCAGCTTCAGTCAGAACAAGTCCAGGAGGTGCCAGATGAGAAATAGGAAGAAAGAACCCAATGTAAAGAAGGCCCGAAGCACCAGTGGCTACCTCAGGAAGGACTCAGCAGACCGCGATGCCTACAGAGCGGGCATTTGTTTTGATTCATTTGAGATGAACACAAGAAAGTGCGACTTCCAAACTGGCCTTGAGTTCTTGATGGTTCTGACTGCCGTGAAGCAAAAGATGCGAGATGCAGAATCTGCCGGTGCTTCCTTTGAGCACCACTTGCAAGGAGCCCTTATGTCCTCTGCCAAAGAGCACGGGAAGGACCTTGCGGATCTCAAACTTACTTTTCTGGTAGTCCAAGCGGCCGGTTTTTTTATTGGAACAGACTTGCGAACGCGAAGTGTCCAGAGTGTTGAACAACTTGGAAGGATGCGGCGCTGCTTGGAGCCTTTCCGCCAATATGCCAAGAACGTGGGGTCGCGAAGCTTGTATTGGCAGCACAGCCCAGCCCATCTCCAAGACGCTTGGGAACGGTTCCAAACCGCAGCGGCTGATGCTTCGGAAACTGCTGGGGCAGACCCGGCCATTATTCTTGAGAAGATTCGTGCACGTTATCAGGCCAGAGCTGATTTGCGGAATGTAAAATTGCAACAGTGGGAGCGGGCGCACATGGCGCTCCACGACACGACCAAAAACCGACCCAAGATACCCAAGCAATTCCACGCAACCAAGACCTTTGCACATTCAGAGCGGTGGGAGCAGCGTATAGCTTTGCAAGACACGAGGAAACACCGTTCCAGGAGATGCCCATCCGAGCGCAGATTGCTGGCTTTGAAACGGCTCCTGGTGAGATGGGGGCGGATGTTGAATCTGGAGGCGAGACTCGTTGACAAAGAGCGGCGCAGAGTCTTGCAGCAGAGGAAGGCGCAGCGGAAAAAGGCCCAAGAGGAACGAAGACGGCTGGAAGCTTTGAACAGAAAACGTCTACGAGAAGAACGGCTGAGAAGAGAAGCTCTCAGGAAGAGAATGCGATCCGACCTGACCATGGATGATTTGCTTGGTGATCGTGCTTCCCCGGCACTCTGAGACAAAAGGATGGCACACAGGGTCGCCCTAGGGGCAGGAGCCTGCAGATTTGATCATATATAATTATATGTCATTTTCAGATGTGAACATGCTAAAATATGTTAGAATATTTTTGTTTTTTTGTCGAAACAGGGCATCGCCCTTCCATAGCTGTTACTGGGACAAGACCTGTTCTTTGTAATGGCATTCTCCATGGTTCAACGGTCCCTGAGATCATGATTTTCTCGTCTGACAACAAGAGCCCGAACTAAACATGAGAAATCATGAGCTTCTTCTCCTGTTTTTTCCTGCTGATGCGTTTGTATGGATCACCTTTTGGTCATCTAACACAGCAATGGAAATTTGCCCTCTTTAGATCTCTTTAGCAGGTAAATCATCTAGTCGTTGGCAATTTTCCATGGCTATGTTGAACTGCCAGAGGGTAGAGGTTGCTTGTGTCAAATGTTCATAAATGTTCCATTCTTTCAAAATTGTCTTTGCCAGGCTTCTTACTGAGCAACGACATCATGACCTACCGAATTAGTATAGTTAAGCGTTCGATGCTACTGGCTGATGACAGGTAGTGATGTTGCACGGAACACATCGTAACACCAGTTCATTCACCGAACATCTTCTGTATTGTCTTCACTGTTTGGGTTTTCTATCAAAATGAGCCTGAAGGTTGGTGACAAGACCATGCAAAGTATATAATCTGAATCTACATCTTGGCCACCCATTCCACTTGTCCTGAAGATCTACTATGGTTCAGTAATCATTGGTTCCAGGCAAGAGGTAGCAATTTCAACTGCAAAGTCTGAAAACACTCATTTCAGGAGAGCAAGCACGTGTTGTCAGACATAGCGAAGCAATACTTTGCAATGGTACAATGAGACAAGCTCAAACTCGCCCCTGCGCCTTCAAAGATTGAATGAACTTCAAAGACAATGGCAACCTCCAGGCAAGCACGGGAACCATATACATCCAGTCTGATGCGTAAACTTTGTATTCATTAGGGAGAAGTACTCAGACATACAATGGCCAGAGTGACACTGTGTTGATGTCCCAAGCGTCCTTGTATGATGTTCTGCTGGTGAACCAGAATGCCACGTTGGATGGAGATAAAGTTGGCCTTCAAGAAACGAGCCCTGCAAGTCCATCCGGACAAAGGTGGCAGCAAGGACGCTTTCCATTTGGTGTACCAAGCACTTGAGATCTTAGCTGATCCAGAGGCCCGCCAGAAGTATGACCAAAGTTTGTCACGGGTGAACCGCAGATCTGAGGTGGATCTACAGCAGACCGGCCCAGCGGGCAAGAAGAAGACTTCGAAGAAACG